GGACGCTAGTGAGTGGGATAAAGAGTAAGACATGAATTTCTGAGCTCCTGCATACCAACAATATTTTCATTGTAGCATGAAGATGTGCTCCCCTGACTATGACCTCTGACCCTTGGGTTGTCTACCAGACTCATCAAGCCAGACAATACCAACATCTGCACTGAGCATGGTGTTGTGGTGAAATGAACAACCATCAGCGTAAGCCATGATCATACCTTCACAGACGTTTAGATCAAAGTACTGGTGATGGGGGTCCTTCGGGACTGAAGGTGGTTCACTCTGCATGACGCTTAGAGGAATGTCATCTGTGCACCGCTGACAGATGGCCAGATCCATGCCAAGAAGGTTCTTTTTGTTTTGGGCATAGCAGACCTCCATCTATATGCTTTGCAGTGCCATCAACCATGATGCCACACCGGCGTTGGTTACTATGCCATCTCGGATGCATTGGCACTGGCAGTCCAGAAATGTGACTGCTTGATGTTGTGTTTCAATGATGATCTTATGATTACCAATGTAGTTTGAAAAAATGTTTAACAGCCCCAACTGTAGCCAATAAGCCTTTTTCACATTCTGAGTACTTTACCTCAGGTGTTTTGCTAGAGTATGCCACTACACGTTTGTCTTGGTCATACATTTGGTACACACCTGCACTGATACAATGCTCTGAAAAGTCAACCTCAAGGTGAATCTTTGTTCCAATGTCAGGGAAGGCTAGCTATGGAGCTGAACACAGTTTGGCCTTTAGGGCTACAATGGCCTGTTGTGTTTCAGTCCAGTTGAAAGCCATATCATTTTTGAGTAATTCATTCAGAGGTTTTGCAATTCAGCATATTTCTCAATGTGAGTAGTTACAAACACTTAAAAAACTCCATAGTTCGCAAATGCAAGATGGGGCTTTAATATTCTGGATGCCTTGAGTGCTGCTCAGTTGGGGTTCAACACTCTGTGGACCCAAGAGGAGACTGACAAAGTTACAGTTTGTTCTGCATCACTGACCTGTAAATTGAAATTTTTGTACCAGCAGCCATAAGTTGAACAAGGACATGATCAATGTCAGTGTGGTGGCTTTCCAAAGTGGGCTGTATGTGGTTCCATGCAAACACAGAGGGGTGAGGATGGATAAAGCCCATGACCTTCTCTCTGCTAAACACAAAGGAATTGAAGAACAATTCAGTGCTTTAAAACAGGTTGCCTACTGGCCTGGAATGTGTAAAGATGTCACTAATAACACAGAACAACTGTTCTGGATACCCAGATAATAAACAACATAAGCTACCCTGAGAAGACTTCTGTTGCGATTTGGCACTATATACAGTAAATAAACTGAACTGAATTGAATTGATCACATTAAAGAATGTTCAAAATGCAGTCAATCTCAAACTGCGAACACCCTTCGCACTAAGATTAATTCAATTAAATTTTCAGTTCAGTTTATTTGCAGTATATAACGTGAAGTCACAACAGATGTTATCTTAGGGCACTGAATAAAAACAATGACATACATAAAAACCAATTAGTGACATTCTTTATTTAAGGGAGTCAACAGATTGTTTTGAGTTTTCATTTCATTTCAGTTTCCCATCCCGAGCTAGCACAAAGGCAACTGTGGAAAGGAAAACCTCCCTGAAACTTCCAGTAGAACCAGGCTCAGGACAAGCGGCCATTTGCTTTGACTGGCTGAGTTTGAGAGGACAGGAAGGAGAAACGGACACAAAATGGCAGGTCCCTCTCGAGTAGGAAAGACCAAAAAAACCACAAAAAAACATGTAAAGATAGAAATAATTACAAATACAAATTATTAATTTGTATTAAATTGTAACTATTCATTTGATGAAATTAGGTCATTTTGTCCTCCAGTAGTCTAAGCCTATTGCCTATACAGTATTTGAAGATTAACCTTATAACTAGATATTGTCCCAAAATTTTGACGTAAAGTAAGTAATTCAGGAATGCTAGCAGGAGGGTCTGATATAAACTAAAGCATGTCATCGGCATATAAAGAAACTTTGTGCTCTGTGCCCAATTGATTTATTTGGAATTTTACTGGAACTTTAAGGGATTTCACATTCCAGTTTACACAATTAACTGGACAGCCACTAGAGTGTCCAACATCCTTAACTCTGGTCATAGCTGATCAGTAAGATATTATTTACACACAAAGTATCACAAGCCAATACCTGATCGAAAAAACAAAAAAACCCAAAAGACTGATCCAGTATAAATCCACCCCCCTCTCCTACCCGAACATGAAGAGAACGAAACTGTCAACTGAAAATCCAAACATTTGTGCTTACCCAAGAGAACGCATTCCCGACCAACTGGGCTTCTGTCTGCCCATATATAGAATATGAATTGAGAAAAGAAATTAAGGGGGAAAAAAAAGTAAAAAACTGCAAACATTACTGTAATTGTCAAATGAGAACCTAAAACATGCTCCCAGATTAGGGAGCGCACTATAGACCTAAATTTACAGTAAGCAGTTCAGAGTACTAATGCCGTACAATTGCCGTCCAATACAAATAAAATGTACATACTGCCATTAAAGGTCCAAACAGACAAATATTAAGTCAAACATAGGTACCGGAGCTGCTCTGCCTCAGACCGGAAGGCACTGCAGAGGGTGGTGAAAGCCGCCCAACACATCACCGGAGCACCACTTCCTGCCATAAAGGACATCTACAGGAAACAGTGTCTGAAAAGGGCTGGGACAATCATAAAAGACTCCAGCCACCCAGCACACAGACTCTTCACCCTCCTGCCCTCTGGGAGGCGCTACAGGAGCCTCCGGACTAAAACCACCAGGTATCGGAACAGCTTCTTCCCCACAGCTGTCACACTCCTGAACTCTGCCTCCTGACATCTGAATAACAACAACGGTCTGCATTCTCATACACAACAACAACAACAACACATGGACTGTAACACCACCACCTGCACTTTCATCCGTTAGCCCACTACTGTACAAACTGTACACATAATCTACTATCTACTGTTCATAAGTACTCACATACTTATATATATATTTTTTCTTTTATATAGTTGTTTATACCCCTTCATATTATAACCTGTTCATAGTCTGTACACTCACAAACTGTATATATTTATACCTATAGCATATTCAAAGCAACTTACTGTATATTGTACTACTGTATATATATCTACCAATTTATTTTTCTTGCTAAGCACTTCTGGATAGATGCAAACTGCATTTCGTTGCTTTGTACCTGTGACATGTGCAATGACAATAAAGTTGAATTCTATTCTAATTCTATTCTATTCTATAAGCTTGAGGGAAGCTGATCCTATGGTTTATTTCTATCTTCGCTGCTCGTAGCTGAAATGATATTCCTCCTGACATATTCCATGGCTTTATCCAAGTCGACAAACACTTTGTCCATCCCTCCATGCATGATGCAAAGCCGTGCAAGACAAAAAAGACCATAACAAACTTCTCGTCGGTTCCAAAGGAGTCTGTTTACCTCTGTGAACGCTGCTCGTGCCTTTGCCATAGTAGTCACCGTTGATGAAGACTGATGATTCCTTGAAGTGAAGTGGGCCACAGCTGTGTGCACGTTGTAATATCACCACACAATTTTGGTAATAATGTAGTTTGGCCACAATTAGTTTATCATCTGATCTCCTCCCTCCTGCTGTCCTTTGCGAATGGTCTATCAGCAGTGATTTGCTCAGCTGCAGCACCTTTGTTAGCATCTTAGCTATGGCTGCGGGGGTGCTCGACTCCAGCCACTCAGGAACGCCTATAATCCTAATGGTGCTCCTTCTCATATGCCCCTCCATGGCCTCAAACCTCCTTTTCAACTTATCCACCTCGTTCTTCAGTCCTGCCACTGTACTGCGCAGAACTTCAACTTCATCAGACCAGTTAGAGAGCCCGTCATTTATGTCCTTCACACTCAGCCTCACCTGGTCACTTTCTGCTCTGATAGCTATGGAGCTATTAACAACCCCCGCCCTCACCGCTTCGAGCTCGCCCTTAATAAAGTTAAAAGCCTCTGCCAGAGCCGCCTCCATCTCCATCCTAATTATCACAAAAACTCCAGTTTTTATTGGAGCCAGAATGTCTGACTACCGAACCGATTCATCAGTCTCTCTTCTTGAGCTCGGCAAGGGCGGAGCCTATTTTCCCATTCCAGGGGCAGCGTGGTCTGAGGCCGTGTTAGGCACAGAGCTCACAGCCTTCGATTTCTTAAATTTGGAGTCCATACCGCAACTCTCACGATTCAATCCTGCAACAACGCCGACTTCAGAAGAATCCGATGCAGAGACGGCGAGAATATTCTTATAAAGGCAGTTTTAATTAGTGCTGACAGGAGCCCGGGAGAAAATGTGACTTACTCCGTCGCCACCATCTTGAATCCCCTCATTAATCAATTAAATTCATTTTTACCTAGAAGTCAAGATTATTTGTGCTCATTTATCCTATATTCTTATTAGTTTTTCTAAATAAAAATAATAATAAAAAAATTCAATTTAAAAAATGTAATATGCTTCTTATGTTCCACTGTGAATGAAATATGGGTTTATGAGATTTGTACATTTTACACACCATTTCAACTTTGTTGGAATTGTGTTTTTTTTTATAATGGGTCTTGGATGAGCAACATCATGAAATATAAATACCAAACCAGGCACTGGTAGAGGATTTCCTCCTACTGTATTACATTGAGTTGTGATAAATATGTATGTATTTTGTTTTTCCTTCCATATTTAAAATTAACTAACATATCAATAAGGATCAGCATTTCTGATTCAATACATATGAATACAATTTTTAATTTTGAAAGTATAGTTTTTACAAAACAAATAGAATTTTTGCCCATGTCCGGTCTGTTCTTTAGAAGAAAAGACTAGAGCCTCCAGCTGAAGTTTATTGCAGTAATGTTGGGTGTGTGTAGGTGTGTTTGCTGACCTTTTTTACCTGAAACGTCACAGTACCATAAGATAAGTAAGGCGATTAAAACTGGAGTTACGTTGATCACCTTTGATCTGTTATAAAGACTGGATCTCTGTCCTCCTCTCAGACTGTTGTCTAAGAGACCCCTTCATCCGTTTCACCAACCTCTATCTGGTAAGAGTTTATTTTTCCTTCTTTTGCTTGCTCGACTGAGAGCCCAACAGAGATAACGCAACCTCTGGTTCCACATTGTTTGCTGTTCCAAAAGGAGAAAACTTTAGTGAGGTTTGATAAAGAAGTAGTCATAGGCAACAGGTCCTAAGTGATAAGAACAGATCTTTTTCATCTGACAGAGACAAGTTTGAATTGTGATCATGGCTGTGACCAACCAACCAGGCAGATTTGAGCCCTCTGATTTCCAGACCGGCATCTGTGAAATCTGTGACGACTGTGGAACCTGTAAGTACTCTAACAGATTTTTATCCAAACATAATCTGCGGAAAGTTATGAACAACTGGTATCAGTTTCAACTATCAGGTTCTTTTATCAGATTTATTTTTGTCTACTGTTGTCATCATTCTTTGTTAAAAACAGGTCTCTCTTGTAAATGAGTCCTCAAGGCTCAATGACACTAACCTGTATAAATAAAGGTTGAATGAATTTTGTGTATAAAAATTAGTATTTGAAGCTGGTATTGGGCTTGATATTGATACCAGAATCATCATCAGTATTTGACTTAAAACCATTGCCAGCATCAGTCCGCCCTTAAACCAATACCAGTATTAGTATCAGAATACTATGAAATTTCACTATTTAAATTTCCTCAGTTCATTCAAATAGATCCTAACTATGCATTAGGTTTGGCTCAACTGCGCCACCTATTTTGCCAGCACAGCACGCTGCTTTCACTTAGAGGTCTGCACGTTGATCACCGTGTAAAACACACCAGGTTGTGACTTATAGTATTCCCTCGATTATCACTGGGATTATGTTCCAAACACCCCCACAATAAGTGAAAAACCGTGAAGTAGGAACACTATATTTATTTTAATATTTGTATAGTTTTTAAGGCTTTAGAAACCCTTCCCACACTATTGCAATGTTCTAAATTCTTAAACCTACATAATTTTAACATACATATGTACTGTACAGTACCGCAAAATTTTACTCACAAGCTCTGCAGAACAGCAGCTTGGTTCTGGTACAGCTTGTTTGCAGTTAGGCAGACCTACCCTGCTGCGACAAAGTCCACAATGTTCTAAACTCTTAAACGTACGTAATGTTTAACAACATACATATACTGTATGTACTGCACAGTAGCTACTGCATAATTTTATGAGGAACACCAGCCTTAGTTCAAGTTTAAGTTTCTTTATTGTTATTTGCATCACATGTAGTACATGAGGTGGAACAAAATTGTGTACTCAAGGTCCCAGTTACACCCAAAAAATAGCAAAAACATAAAGTATAAAAAGAAACAGTATGAGATATACACTAAGATATAAGCTAAATGAACGCTAAACAATACGCAAAAAGTTCTAATATATACTCTAAACACTAATAGTGTAAAACAATGTGGTATATTAAACTGCAGCCCGAACATGAGTCTGTAGTGAGTAGATGGGTATGAATAAATACAGCAGCATGAGATCAGCAGCATGGCTAATCAGCAGCACAGATAAGTTACATCACCAATTTAAGTGACATTACAGTGATTATCCTGGTTAGGGATTTATGAGTCTAACAGCTTCAGGGTAGAAGCTGTTCCTCAGAATAGTGGCTCTACACTTAATGCTCTGCAATCTTCTGCTTGAGGGGCGTGGGGAAAAAAGTGTGTGTGCTGGATGAGTGGGGTCCTTCATGATGCAGGTGGCCCTCTTCCTGCATCTGGAGGTATAGATATCTGTGATTTTGGGAGGCTGACTCCAACAGTCTTCTGTAGTTTGATATTGTTTGTTTAAAAGGCAGCTGAGAGCAGAGTAATTCAGAGGGGGAACTGGATCTAATTGAGGCCCTCTCCAAAGCCACCCAACTGTGAGAAGGCGTATCCTTATCCAACCAGAACATTAGACCTCTGATATTAGCTGCCCAGTAATAGTGCATGAAATTAGGAAGTGACATGTCTCCAAGCCTGCAGGGCAGATGCAAGACCTTCCTGGCAGTCCGTGGATGCTTTTTATTCTAAATAAATGCTGAAAGCTGACTGTTCAGATTGGTGAATAATGATTTAGTAAGGATGATTGGCAGGCTTTGAAACAGTTATAGAAATTTAGGTAGGATATTATTTTTTACAGTTTATTCTACCCCCTAGAGTGTGAAGCAGGGATTGCTATCTAACAATGTCCTGCTTAAGGGCACCATGGGAGGTAGATAATTAGTTTTATAGAGTTTCTTATGATCTTGAGTTACCCAAATGCCAAGGTATTTAATTTTGTTTTAAACTAATTTTAAAAGGTACAGTGTCTAAGATTTTCTTTTCTATAGAGGTCACAGAAATCAGCTCGCACTTTTGAAGATTAACCTTATAACCAGATATTTTCCTGGATTTTTGAAGCAAAGTAAAGGAAGTAATTCAGAAATATTAGTAAGAGGGTCTGATTTATACAAAAGCAAGTCATCTGCATATAAAGAAACTTTGTGTTCTGTGCCTAATTGATTTATCCCCTTAATGATGGAGTTTTGCCATAAAGCTAGTAGTTCTATCGCTAACGCAAATAGAAGTAGTGAGAGCGTGCACCCCTGTCTCATACCTCATTGCAATTCAAAGTCACTGGATATGTTACAGTTAGTGCAGAATGCCACTGGTATATATGAAATTGGGACCAAATTTAAATAGCTTTAAATTCTTGAAGAGATAACTCCACTCGGTTAAATGCTTTCTCAACGTCCTTTGAGAGAATGACTTTGTCACAGGTGTGATTGGGCAGACTAGGAGTGTACAACATGCCAAGCAGCTGCCTAACGTTGAATAAAACTTATTTAAAAACTTAAAAAATTTAAAAACCCTGTCTGGTCAGGTGGGACAATTGTGGGGACCACCTGCTCAAGTCATTTTCCAGGACCTTTGCAAAGATTTTTGCATCAGTATTTCAAAGTGAGATAGGTCAATATGAGCAGCAATTTAGAGGATGTTTGTCTTTCTTGGGTAACAGCGAGATTACAGCTTGACACATGGACAGTGGCAGTATCTGTGCAGCGACTCTTCAAACACAGACATTAATAAGGGTGAGAGTAAATTTGAAAATTTCCTAAAAAAAAAACTCAAGGAAGCCATCTGGTATTGGGGATTTCCCATTTTGCTTATTGTTGATTGTGGAGTTTATCTCAGCTAAAGATAACTCCTTCTACAAATCTGTAGCAAGATAAAAATTCATTGAGGGAAGTTTAACATCTTTTAAAAAGTTCTAGTCCGATAGGCTAGCTGATGACTCAGTCATATACAATGATTGGTAAAAATTACTAAAATGTGTATTAATTCCAGCATTGTCACAACATGCACCACTACAACATACTGCCTGGCATTATTAGCATGCACACTTAAGGCTGTAAACTGTACCTGCTTGAAAACTATAATAGCTACCCCATTTGATTTAGATTGAAAATTGGATTAAAACACCTGACCAGACCGTTTTTTTAACAAACTTTCCACTGTCTTCAGAATGTACATGAGTCTCCTGTAAAAAGGCAATATCAGTGTTCAACTGCTTTAAATATGACATAATTTTCTGAAATTTTACAGGACCATTAAGGGATTTCACATTCTAGCTTACACAATTAACTGGACAACTACTAGAGTAGCTAACATCCTTAGCACTGACTGGTCATAGGTGAACAGTAAGATATTATTTACACATTTTACAAGCCAATACCTGACAGAAGAAAAAAATAAAAAAAACAAAAGACTGATCCAATTTAAACACAACCCTCTCTCCTACCCATACACGTAGAGAACAAAAACTACTGTCAACTGAAAATCCACATATTTCAGAATCAACTTTATTGTCATTGTACCGAAGCACAACAAAATTATATTTCAGTACAGCCCTTCGGAGAAAACATAATCAAACAGACAAGAGACGGAGGTGCCTGAGGCCGCAGACTTCGGGAGGCGCTGTCCTTTTCGTTTAAATAAGAAAAAGAGAAACACAAAAGGAGGGGAGGTATAAAAAATATCTCACACTGTGTCCTAGACCGGACACAGGGCGAAAGTTACATAAAAAGACCTCAGAAAAGAAATGGCAACATACTAATGACATCATAATACATTTATGCATGAGGAGGCCAACGAAGGTGGTGAGTTGTCCATAGACAATGCCAGATAGTTCCATAGTCCTGATAAGATGTTACAGTGTCTATCAGCCAGCTCTGACACAGGTCCACAAATGTCCTCGGGAAGGGAGCAGGTAGGCGGGGAAACAGAGCTTCTTGTTCACATACCATCCAGGAGAGTTTGAGATAGTTGGCCAATTCAAGGCCAAGCGAGGGAGCCAGATTCAGATAACAACATTTATTTTGGGTCAAACTGACTCTGCTTGATTTTTTTCTGCCTTCATAGTTCTACTGGTACGTCTCAATGTCGACTCCAAACAGCCAAATTTTGTGGTCAACACTGCCGGGCCGAGCTTGTAGCTTCTCCAAGGTCGATTCCTTCCCACTGTTTTATTCTCGTTCACTTCTTTATACATACAAATTACATCAAAATAGTATTTGGATGTTTAACAGCTTATTTTAAAATATTACATTCAGGAATTCCTTCCTATTGCTGCTAAAACAAAAATAATGAGAATGTAAAAGTTTATACAAAGTAAAGAACAGATTGATCCCAAAGCTGTGGATACATATGTGACCAGTACATAAACTCATCTAATGTAACCAACGTAAGAAGGTAGCTACATAAACACAGCACCAATAAATGAGATATAATAAGATATAATAATAATATGTTGGAGTCAGTCTCCCCACTATAACAGACATCTACACCTCTAGATGCAGGAAGAGGGCCACCTGCATCATGAAGGACCCCACTCACCCAGCACACACACACTTTTTGCCCCGCTTCCCTCAGGAAGGAGGTTGAGGAGCATTAAGTGTAGAACCACTAGACTGAGGAACAGCTTCTACCCTGAAGCTGTTAGACTCATGAATCTCTAACCAGGAAAATCACTATGAAAAAAATCACATCATGTTGCTGCTGATCTGTTTCATGTTGATGTGTTCATGCGTGCTCATCTGCTCACACAGACTCATGCTCGTGCTGCTGTTCGGCGTATTGTTTTTATGCTTGTAGTGCTTAGCATATTTTTAGTTTATGTTTTTCTCAGTTCATATCTTAGATCTTATTACTGTTTTTCTTTTACATTTTATTGTTGGATGTAACTGGGACCCTGTGTACATAATGTTGTTCCACCACATGTGCCACATGTGGTGCGAACGACAATAAAGAAACTCTGACTCTGGCTCTAATAAAAGATAAATTCCTAAAATCTTGTTGCAACGACAGAACCTTCACAACTACAAGGTTTATGAGAGGCTCTAATTGGAACTTTTACTAAGTTATCTGTGTTCTAAACCATGCGGACGTGGTCCCATCATTCTTTAATTGACACAACAGAGAAAGAACAAATTGTTGACCTGAAGGATGTCAACGTTGAAGACACGTTGCCAATATCTTCAGTGAAATTTTATTTATACAGAAATTTGTCTTGTTGAGACACATTTGCCTCATTTATGAGAAAGACCTGCACAAAGGAACCAATTCAGTCAATAAAATGCATGAAATGGGAAACCAGATGTGCTGATAAAAAGTATCCCAACTTTAACTTAAGCTTCTTCATCAGAGTGTTAAATTAATTATTCTTACTGGTCTTTACAAATCAGTCCTTATTTTGTAAGAATCACAACTCTGTGAGGACAAACTGAGGTTTGCCATAAAAATTGTACAAAACATAAAATTAAATTCAGTTTATTAGCACTAGGGCACAAACAGATGTCGTCCCGGGGCACTGTACTCACATCCATTGCAAATCCAATCAGTAAAAAGTATACTGGTATAAAATTAGAAATCTTTTAAACAAGAAAAAAAATTGTGTTTTTGCTGGTAGGTTTTTAATATATCAGCATACACAGAAATTTGTTTAAACATGTCTGAAATTTCTTGTACAAAAATTAAGGATTTATTAACCTTTATTTAACCATACAAGTACCACTGAGATCACAGATCTCTGTTTCATGGTCCCCGGGCCTGATGGCAGCCGAACTTGTAGGTTTTTGGATTGTGGGAGGAAAATGGAGTGCCTGGAGAAAACCCATGCAAACACAAGAACATGCCCCAGGTCCAAACTGGGGATTAAACCAGCACCTTCTTGCTGTGAGGCAACAGTGCCAACTACTAATCCACTGTGCTGCCAGAATTACATTACTTTGTGAAATAATTTTTCCATGTTTGAATAAGAGCTCATTTCAATATGTAAATATACATGTAACGTTTTTTTGTTTTTGTTGTTCTGTTTTTTTTTTTTGTGCCACAGGCTGCTACGGGTTTTTCTGCTACCCGTGTCTCGGCTGCTCCATCGCCAGAGACATGGATGAGTGCTGCCTGTGTGGTCTGGGCATGCCCATCCGCAGCGTCTACAGAACCCGATACAACATTAGAGTAAGCTTTGTGTTCCAAAAATATAAGACAAAATATACATTTAAGAGATTTTCCAGTCAGGACTAGATACAACAAATGCTCCTACAAATACACATTGCCCAAAGGGTCCTGATGCTGCTCAATAATCCACACAGAAAAATCTAACAAGGTTGAGTCAGGTCATCTGGACGGATTCTTTGTTGAAACGTTTTGGCTTTTATCAAAAAGACTTTTCTGTCTGAGACCCTGCAGCAAACTCAGTCTTGTAATGCTGCTGATTATCCATGCTACTGATCTCTTTCCGTTAAGCTGCTATATTCATACCCATCTGCTCACAACAGACTCATGTTCAGGCTGCTGTTTAATACACCTTATTATATTACATTAATATTGTTTAGCATATATCTTAGATCCGTATATACCGTTTCTTTTTTTATACTTTATATTTTTGATATTTTTGAATGTAAGTGGGACCTTGGGTACACAATTTCATTCCACCTCATGTACCACGTGTGATGTGAATGGCAATAAAGCACCTTGAACCTTATAAATAGCACCTTCTCATAGTGGATCAACCAGTTTGCTGCTGACAGCCAGAACTAGCTATTCACACAATGCCCAAAGTGTTTTGGGAATTGTAGTGGTTTGTGATTTTTGTTGATATATGTTTTAATTTACTAGTAATTCATAATCTCAGTACTCAGTTAACTTTAGTCCTGACATTTTGGTAAGAGCAGAACATTCAGCTTGTGCCTTTCGCCTTTCTCTATCTTTATTTTGCATCTGGTTTGATTACTGACATTTAAAGCTGACATTATTTACAGCTGTGAACAGGTGCAGATTTTCCCCACTCACACAGTAAACTTCCTCATTACTGCAAACGCACAGTATTTACTCATGATCCTCTGACCAAAGTCTACTTTGTTTACTCACTCTGTGCACTTGGCAGATTTGAAAACAAAATAAATTGCAATCATTGTTAATAATTGTTCCATATGGATGTTATAGTCTTCCCTTAGTAAAATACTGACACATTAAAGGCCTAGCATTCTTTAAAATAATACACATTGTCTGCCTTTTATGCCAGAGTATTAGACTGAGATCATTTTATGGTGAAAAATGACAAAAAGGTAGTTTCTGTTTCCTAACATCAGCTAGCTGTGGGGGCCATTTTGAACTGGGCTAGTTCCAAATAATAATCACTTACATCCAGTAAACATTTCCTCAAAGTTTAATTGAAAACTGTCGAGTGGTTCATGAGACAACTCGCCAACAGACAGACCGCGTTCACACCAAATACACAGCAGGTGACATTTTAAATCAAGATCTTGACCAGTGTGTTAGTGATCGCTTTCAGCTACTAGCGCATCAACTTTGATCCATTTTTGTGCTGGAATTGCTCTGCTGTGGCAGCCATCTTGAATTAGGTTGAGTACAAAGTTATTCAGCCACAGCTACGTCTATTTCTTTGTGGACTTTTCAGTCAGGTCCAGTCAGTGACATGAAACTTTGCAAACGGTTCAGACAAATAAACAGTCAGAGACACCCATCATGGTGCCACCTTCACTCTTCACTAAAGCTGCTGCACAACTGTTCACACTGAGGGTTACTGTTTGTGCTTCCAGGGCTCTTTGTGTAACGACTACATGATGTCGATCTGCTGCCCTGTTTGTGCCACCTGCCAACTAAAGAGAGACATCGACCGTCGAAAGGAGCAGGGCATTTTCTGAGAAGGTGAGGGTCTTTAAACAACAGGAATTTACCAAAATGCATGTTGATCGTCTCCAAAGTTTCTTAGATTGTGGGATTGATGTGACAAAACATCATCACATATTTTGGGGAGAGGCAATGCAGAGATTGGAGGTGAGCCTGCCATCAGGGGGTTGCAGGTTCAAATCTCCAGACATGCACAAAATAGTTGTGGGATAAGTGAAGCCCCCACATTTGCCCCACTATGGGCTCTACAGCGAGCATGCCTTGAATGGCAGCCCACTGGAAATTGTAAGTGTAATAAATAATGAAGTTTGATTCCAGTTAAATCAAGTGTGTTTTGTTTTAATTGTAGAAAAGTACAAATTACTGCAAACTCATCTGCAGATAAATATTCACATGCAGACAGACATCCAGATGTAAAGCTGTTAAAATGATGGAAACTTTTTTATATCTTTCTAGATGCTGCCGTGACATCAGACGTAATCTACTGCAGCTGATAAAGAGGATCCCACCTATTTCCTGACAAAGAATAGTTTGTTTGCTGCAGCGTTCACCTTTTCTATAAATACTTGATCTTTTTGTGGGAGCTGCGAATCTGAGAAAAGCAGCATTTATATGTTCCAGTGTGCTGCTCTGTGTGGCACACCTGATATGATTTACTGCTTCACAGCCTGAGCTGTTGACAGGATGGTGACGTCCTCTGCTCATCTCAGTCCTGCTCTCATTTAGGACATCATGAACTGAACTCTTCTTGTCTGTGGCACACAGAGATTTTTAAAACAGCTGTCTTAAAAATAAAAAGTGTATTGAACCCTAATCAGCAACTTCTACTAAAGGCTTTAATAAAACTGATTTAGGAACAGCAAATAGTTTCTTGTCCTTTTGTTATTTTATTATTCTAGACTGAGATACTGAGCTGAAATTTTGTAGTACCTGAGAGCGAGTTGTTAATTCTTATTCTTCCTGGTGCAAATCAAATATCCAATATGGTTATCTTAGCTAAAAGAGAAAAATCACAACTCAGCTATTTTAAATAAAGATTGAGCTGAAATTTGGTGTGGTGGTACCTGACAACGATGCACAACACATTCTGAATTCAAATAAAACGAGTACAGATGACCGCCAAAGCTCATTTCAAATGGCTATAACTCAGCTGTTTTTAGAGCTACTCAGCTGAAATTTGGTGTTTTAGTAGCTGAGAAAAATCCTTAATGGATTCAGATTGCAAATCAAAAATCCAAGATGGCCACCTGAGCTAAAAAAGAAAAATACTATAAATTAGCCATTTTTAGAGATCAATGGAAATTTGGTGTGGTGATAGCTGAGAGCAGTGCCCAATACTGAGTTCAAATAAAAAATCCAAGATGGCCACCAAAGCTGCATTTAACTCAGCTATTTTTACACACAGAGCAAAAATTTGGTGAGGTTATAGCAGAGAACATTTCCATCACATCCATCCATCCATTATCTTTTACCAGCTTCTTCCATTTTGTGACACGGGGGTCGCCGGTGCACATGTCCAGCAATCACTGTGCAAGGGTCAGGGTACACCCTGGACAGGTCTCCAGTCCATCACAGGGACACATAGAAACAAACAACTATTCACTTTCTCACTCACACCTAGGAACAATTTAGAGTTACCAGTCAGACTAACATGCATGTTTCTGGTCTGTGGGAGGAAACTGGAGAACCTGGAGAAAGTCCACACATGTAAGGAGAGAACATGCAAACTCCGCCCAGAAAGGCCCCTGGACCGGGATTTGAACTGACAACCTTCTCACTGAGAGGCAGCAGGTCTACCAGTTGCGCCACCGTGCTGCCTTTTCTTTAATTTGTTGTCTTCACAGTGATGTGGTAACTATGGTTTGTATTTGCTGGTGTCTATCTTGGCCAGGTCTCCTTTGAAAAAGAGGTTTATAATCTCAATGGGATTTTCCTGGTTAAATAAAAACATAAAACTTCAAAGCCCTCTGAACACCAAGGTTTGTATGACTAAAAAAAAAAAAAAGATGATTGTCAGATTTTTGTCTGCTGCAGTGAGACAATCATTGACTGTGTTTATCTGCTCTTTAGTAAAATACCCCACGAACCACTGCATGTAGTGAATGTAACTTTTCAGAAAGTGATCATGTAATCTCTTAAACTGATTCATTTTTGGAGCCAACTTTATTCAAGATGGCCACCACAGAGAATCAATGTCAGAAAACACAGAAATGGTTATAACTCAGTAGATTTTACAAGAAGCTAAAGTTCAGTGTGGTAATGACAGTTATTCACAATGCTAACTGAGTGCACACAAGATATGAGCAATGCAAATGTTCTTTTCTACATTTTGCAAAAGCAACTGTCATTTCTCAAGACAAGATTATCTGTCTAAAACTGTCACGTTTCCAGAAATGATTTTATTTTTACTTAATATGCAACAATTTGCATATTATTTAAAATAAATACCCTATGTTTGTTATAATCTAGGGCAGGTCTAGTTTGTAGTGTAAGATGACACTTTTGGGGCAGCTGTTGTTGAGTGGTTAGAGCAGTCATCCTCCAGTGAAAAAGTTAGGGGTTCAATTCCACCAGCAGTCAGATGCTGAAGTGTCCCTGGGCAAGACACTGAACCCCTCATTGCCTCTGATGTTCATTCATTCAACCTTTATTTATACAGGTTAATCTCATTGAGCCTCTGAGACTCATTTACAAGGAGACCTGATTTCTTAACAAAAAGTGATGACAACAATGGACAACAATGACAACAATAGACAGTCACAAAAGAGGCATACAAATTTAAATTTATTTTTCTTTTTAACAAATCAAAACAAAACAGCAACCAAAAGGACAGTCAAAAGGAAAAGTAGTGAAAATAAAAAATCCAGCTAGATTGTAAGGTGGTGTAGAAAACTAAAAACAGGAACATGTCTGCACTGGTCCTTGCCAGGAACTTAACAGATGTTTGAAGCCACTTAGAGAGATCATGGTCGAGAGCTTCAGATCTTTTTGCAAGATATTCCTTGAAACAGGAGCCAAGTAGGAGAAGGCCCTTTTGCCTAGTTCAGTCTGCACTGAGGAGACACTGCATGTAATAATGTCATGGGAGCACACGCTGTAGCTGCACTCACGCAGAGACGTAGAAGATGTACGAAGGCAGCAGACCAAGAAGTGATTTAAAGATGAAAATATACCAGTGAGAGAGTCTGTGTGAAGTTAATGATGACCAGTTAACCAGTGAATACAGGGTGCAGTGGTAGGTACGGTAGTTACAGTCAGTTATAAATATTAATGCACCGTGATAGGCAGCATCCAGCATCTGCAGGGTGCTTGTAGGAGCGTTCATGTAAATATTGTCACTGTAGTCAATGGAGGGAATGAAAGTGACAGTTACAAGGCCTTTCCTAGCATTCATAGTTAAACAGGATCTATTTCTGAAAAAGAAACCCAGTTTAACTTTCAGTTTTCTTACTAGGTTTTCCACGTGAAGCTTAAAAGAGAGATGTGAGTCGACCAAGATACCCAAATATTTATGGGAATCAACAAGGGACACTGTTTGAGGATAAAATCAGAGGAAGAACTGCTGGGACAGACTTCCTGTTTGAAAAAAGTATCCCTTTGGTTTTATTTCATCCCTACTGACCGCCAGAGGGTGGTGCTGAAAGCACTGAATGTTCCCTTCGTGCATGCGTTGTTCGAGTAGTCATACCAACGGAGTCACAGGTGTGACACAGATGACCAATCAGAGGCTATATGGCCTGACATCATCCGCAGCTCTGCTCCTTTTTTCCTTCTCGCGCGCGGTTCAATTCAGGGTTTCAGCCCTTTGGACTTTTGAACTTTTCACCGTCGTTGGAGGCCCGACTGCCCGTTGGTGGGAGTAGCGTGTTCACCCTCCTGGGGGCTGCGACGGTTTAGCCCTGTTCAAAGGTATTTCTGCTGCTCGTTGGGATCTACGGCAGTTTTCACTCCCTCCCAACTTGCAGCGTCTGACTACTATGTGTGTGACTCAACACTGGTGAGTACTGTTTTACTTATATTTCGCCAATGGTTAGCGGTAGCATCTGTCCCGCTCCCATTTGTTATGAGTGTGTTGGAGGCTTCCAACCGCGTGGTCGATTGGACTGTGCTCTGAAGTTTGTTAATTACTTAGCCAGCTGAGTTCCTGGTCTTGTTTTCATTGGTGAAGGCAAGCGTTTGTGCACTCTCTCACAGTCATTTTCATCAACCTCATAAACGGTTGGACTGAGCTAGCAGTACTAGCCTCCCTCCGTTCTAGCCTTGTTTTCATTGGTGAAGGCAAGCGTTCACGCACCCTCTCCCAATCGTTCTTACCAACCTCAAACACGGTTGGACCAAGCTAGCGGTGCTAGCCTCTCTGAGTTCTGGCCTTGTTTTAATTGGTGAAGGCAAGCATTCGTGCACCCTCTCCCAATTGTCCTCTTTTACCAGCTAAGCTAGCGGCGTTAGCATGTCTGAGTTTCTTTGCCTTAATTGGTGACAGCAAGCATGCGTGCCCCCACTCCCAATTCTCAGCCTATCCTTTCGTTCTGTATCCTGGATGTATCTGGCAGTGCTAGCCCATTTGAGTTGCAGTTTTTACTTTGATTAACGGGGCATGACCATCTGATGGAGGCTCTATCAGAGAACCCCTGCATGAATTGCAGCTTCATGCTTTGTGCTGTGAGGGTGGCTCGGCTGGCCCAGTTTCGCCCCGAGCTCCGCAGTGACCTCCCACCTTCTGGGCAGGAGGCCCCTCCTAAGCACTCAAAGCGCTGGACTGAGGCCGCAGTCTTTGTGGCCTATCTTAGGAAGAGGCAAACCAAGTCTGATCATGGCCTCTCCATAAGGGTGGAGCAGTTGTCTGCAGAATTAGCGGAGATGAAGTCCCTTTTTCAGGCACGCCAACTGGGGGCTGATCCAGCGGCAGCGACTGGACTCTCCTCCCCACCCATGCCTCAGCTGGCTGCGGAAGAGGATGTGTTATCCTTGGGTGCCTCTGCCTCTCACTTTTTAGGTGAGGAGGAGGGGCAGTCATCTCAAGTCTCAGAGACTGGTTCACTTTATTCATCTCGGAGCGCAGTTAGTGGGTCAAGTGACTGCTTGATGCAGGACGTCATACGTATGGCCCTGAGACAGCTGCAGCTGGACGTCCCACAACTGGAGGAGCTCACCCCTGGAAGTACCTTCTTCAGGCGTGGATGGGCCCCTCCTCCCTTTTCCATCCCTCCATCGGAGTACCACCTGAGGGAGTTGCATGGTTGCTGGCAGGACCAAAAAGTCTTTGCGCAGCCAGCTGCAGTGGGCTTGGATCGCATGCCGGCGATGGAACCTGCTGTTGCCTCGCTCATCGTGTCACCAGAGGAAGCTCTGCGCAGTGATGTTCGGTGCCCACGAGCTCAGTGTCGCGTCAAGGATGAATTCCTCTGCAGAGCTTATTACGCTGGAGCACATGCTGGCCACCTCGGTAATTCCATGGCACACCTCATGTTTGCCCTCTCCATGTCCCTTCAGGGTACTAGTGGTGCAACAGCAGCAATGGGCTTTAGCGATGCAGCGCTTCAAGCCTTTGCAGTGATGACGAGGGAACTTGGGCACATGATGTCCTTCTTGGTCCAGGCTCGCCGACAGGTCTGGTTGGTGCAGTCAACATTGACCGAGCCATGTCGTAGAACCCTCCATAATGTCCCGGTGGTGCCAGGGGAGTTGTTCGGTTTGGCTGCCTTGGAAGCGCTGGAACGGACCGTCCAGGAACGTCAGACAAGGCAGCAGCTTTCGAGCCTTAGCAGGGCGATGCCCCCTCCACTTCCTCAGCATCCAAGGCACCCGTCGACTGACCCCAACATTTGGCCGCCGCGCCGGGGTCATAATCAGCCGGGTGGTCTTTACCCTTGTGTGGTTCAGCAGACACACCATCCTGGGTGCCAGGGCACCCTCTACTTGTCAGCAGTACGAAAACAGGTGGCGTCTGTTTTCCCAATG